ATAATAGAAATACATTTTCAAAATTAAATGTTGAATGAAAAAAGTGATTGGTAACTCCATCTAACAGCGCAATGGTAATACTCATCAGGTTGCAGCTTATTATACATAGATGGCGTTCAAAAAGGCGTAACCACATCAATCAGTTCAAAATTACAAATCTAATAAAAAATATTATTACATGTAATTATAAATAATTATTCCAAAATGTACCATATTCCATACCATTTATTCTTACAATCGTATATTTTCTTTCAATGTATCTTTGGAACAATCATATAGAACAATATTGTAATCCTAAAAGTCCCTATGCATCATCAGTTTATTTAACGCGGATCTACATTTTTCCCAACTTTACAAGCATACATCCTTAACGCAGTCAATTCTATTAATTCCGAATCCCACATTACAGTAGACCTCTTCATCTTCAAGTATACGAATAGCGGTTGAGCAAAAACATCCATTCAAAAAAATAAAATGAACACGGTTCAAGATCAACTATTAAAAAGTAAAATAAAAATAGCATGTCGCGGAGAAGAATCGATTCTCCGAATCTCGACAAACGACAGCGTTCCTATTCCCTAGTTACCTGACGCTCACCGTGTACAACTAGGGACACCGTTCTAGGGACGAAACCAGTCATTGAGAAGCATTGCCCGAGGATGCCATGGTTTGAGAGCCGCTGTGATCGGCGTGTAGGGGCGTCGTTGCTGCGTGCAATGTGTATCGTGTAGGCGTTGGCGAGGAGGAGACAAGTACGGGGATGTGTCCGTAAAAAAGTTGCGGTTTCTGCGTACTCTGCCGCACGTGCACGCTCGAAATCGTGTTCCGCGAGCCACGGATTCCCCGGTGGATCGACCGCGGACAGTCTTTACGTGTCCGACAGTGGCTGTTCCGCGAACGGGCCTAACAATCACGGGTGCGAACGAAAAAAAAAGTGCGGTCGGTGTTCTTTCGTTTCTCGCGGAGGCCACGTATCGTGCGTGCGTATCTCGACCGGCCTTGTCACGGGGACGTTGCTCTGGCCGAGCGGGGGGAACTCGCCTCGACTGGGAGACACGGTGCACGGAAACGACGCCCGTACCAGGATGCCAGGACGTCTCGATCGTAGGGCTATTGAGACGGTCAGTGTTACACGCGCGAAAAAATCAAATTAATTCCGTGCCCCCCCACGGGTTCAGGGAACGAGCGTATCGTCTTGCACTCTCCTGAATAGTTCAGCCGCAAAGTGGACGACAGGGAGGAGAGAGACGATCCGACAGCGCGCGCGTCTGTGTGCAGGAGATGTACGGAATCTCGGGAAGAGATCCTGGTGCGGGAGGATTCGGCTATCAACGGCTACGATCAAACGTATTATCGCAGGTCGGATTCTTGAGTGTATGAGACATCGCTCGCTCGCCCTATCCCCGTGAAGCCCGTGTTCGTCCCCGGTGAGAAGAGGCCGCACGGTGTGTCCGCTGGCACGCGAAAGATTTTATTGTCGCCGCGTACGGCGGACTACGGCCAACCGTATTTTTCAAGTGCGAGTCAGTTTTATCTATTCGTACGCGAGGAGGGACTTTCGACAAAGGATACGTCACAGGCCGAGAAGATATTTTCCTCCAGTGGCTCTCTCCGTTCCTCTTGTTTGCGTCGGCGGGCCTTGCTCTCGATGATAGTGGCGCGGTTGACAGTGCGGCTGCTCTATCGGCGTGTATTTCACGACGGGATCGTCGTGTCGACCCTCGCGTGCGTGAACTAGTCTAACGCGCGTGGAAGCTGGACAAGGTTGGATGGTTAACCGCGGGAAGCATTCATCGGGCCAAGAATACAAACACAGGGATCGTGGTGTCTATCGCCGGCTACTGCGTCGCGCGTCAACGCCGCATCTTGGAATGTGACGGGCGACTCCCGGCGTGGGAAATATCGTAGAAAAAGGTAAGGGGAGATTTGAATGCGGTGACGAATCGACGCTTCGTCTTTCCATCCTATTGACGCCGCGATACGATACAAACTGTCACTGGCACCGCCGTCTGCTTAACGGTACTCATTTTCTAACCTGTAAACGTGGCCTGTGCGGCGGTAGTAGTAATAGCGGTGGTGGTACGGCCGATAGTATTGGGAAGCGTAAATACCAGAGCACGCGACCGAACACAGTCGGTTTTTAAGCTATCAACGCCCAATGTTCTGTTTCACTGACACTTTCATTTTCGTTTTTTAAGCCTCGCGGACCGTAACGATTACCTCGCCGTCGTTACATATTTATTATAATTTTGAAAGCGGAAAGGGGTAGTTTTTTTAGTTTCCATAACCTAACCCTGCCTTTTATGCTGGACCTTAGTCTCGTATAACAGGGATTCTTTGTGCTCATTGTCAGTAATTTTTACAAACATGTATACGCACGTTTGTTACAGTGTCATACGTGGGTTACCTGTCTTGTAAATAATGACGCTAAAAAAATGTTTAACGAAAGCGTCGTCGAGTTAAAACTGCTGCGTGTTAATAGGTTAAAAACCGGCGAGCATGTGTCTGAAGTAGGCTTCGGAAGTATCGTCGTGACTTGTGGGGTAGCAGTAAACAACGCGTGGACGATGTGTCATTTATTTGAATTTAGTCTGAGACACATTTCGACGTGTTAGTTTTCATTATCATATACATGCCCGTTGAATCGTCTCAAGTTCTTTCGTAACCGTCGTTAAAAATAAATTAACAGGTGAATGGCCACAAAATATGAAAGATACGAATCGATAGCGGTATTTCGATTTTCGAAGAATCGATAGTAGAGACAGAATTGATGTCACGTTAGTATCGATCATTTGTAGAATATGAATAGCCATAAATTATATAATATCGAGAACCTAGCATAGACATGAAAGAATAATATCGCTGTAGGATTAGCCTTGTTACATCAGCATGAAGTCATCGACAAGTGAACAACGATGATACGAGCACTGTCATAGTAAATACCATTGTAAGGTAGATAAGGAACGTCGACGTACACCTTATTGACAGGTGGCAGATGCTCGATGACTATAGCTTCTGATTACACAAGCACGTTCGCAATTGTTTTCAACTTGACAAGCGTAATTTCGTGGTGTAACTCGTGTCTCTGAAAAAATCCCGGCCGCTGCCACCGCGGGTATACTTGTTACTGGCACAATGACATTTATCGTGCAGTTGTTAGCTTTGTTTTTGTTTTGAAGCGTACACGACATTCGACGCCACCGTGCGTCCCTTGCACGCTTGCCAACATAATTCAAAGCGCACGAGGTGATCAATGACAGGGAACCGAAATCATTAACCTCCTCCTTTTTTCTACATAACCAATGTAACACTTGTTACAACACAAATCGATATCCGCGAACGAACATATCGCAAACGACAGATCGATTTTCGATCATCAAAGGAAATATCGATTCCCCCTGAAACAGCGCGAAACAATTTCATTTCAAATTCATCGTCATTTAAAGTAGCGAGAAAAAAAACATCGGTAGACCAAAAATCATCAAAAAGGAAAAATCTTATAGTACTTCACGGATACATTCGGTACAAATCGGTATCGACAGTGTTTCCCATTAACGCGAAGAAAAATATCAAATTCATTTGTTAAGTAGTTTCAAATTTGTACGAAAAAGAATACCGAGACAAGATCCTCGGCGAAGAGCAATTTTTTCCCTGGTATCACAGATTCGAGTAAACTGATCTCGACCCGAGAGTTTTATGAAACAGAAAAATTCCTGTGCGCCAGCCTTAATGTGTTAATGCGGACGGTAATTTCGGGAGTGGATGAGTTTCGAGCGGTTGATAATTAGTATACGTACACAAGCTGAAAACTACGGCAGTAAGAAAACTCATAACGGGAGCTTACGGAACGAGGTGTACCGCGTGAGTCGTTCCTTCCTGCGAGGTTGCACTCAGGATGCATCTCGCTACGGCTCGACACTCCCGTCGCTGTTCGTATCCGGCGAGATAAGGAGTGCAACTTATGCCATTTCGGAATATGGATGTGCCAGACTCCGCGGGCACTTTTCGCTGGGGGACAAAGTTAACGAATAACAGCCGGCCAGCTCGGCTGCTCGACCGTGGAAACAACAATAACAGTAAAAACAACGGGAACTAGAATCCATTCCCATAGCCGAGGATTAGTAGCTATCGTTTTATCCTGTCATAAATATTCGATAAATATCACCGAAGGGTTTTGCAGTTGGGTCTGGGCCACGGTATTAAATCCGAAATGCGAATGCGTACACACGAATCGTGGGGATTAAGTTAGAAGATACTAATCGCCAGTAAATTACAGCGACTGTTCATTCGAAAAATCCTTTATCCTTTCAAAGTCTTTCCACCGTATAGCAGCAGACGGTTTAACTGTTACTAGCATTATCACCGCTGCTAGTTGGACGAAGATCAGAAGCTGGAATAATTTCGAGAGCGATTACGATGAAATATGTAGCCAGAGGTTTCTCTGCTCACGGATCACGGATTCGTCCAGTAGCGAAAGAGGATAATCTTTCAGCTACTGAGGACGTTGAGAAACCACAAGCTCGCTTACCCGAGATCCGTCCCCATTTTCCTAAGCAATCACGCGACGAGAAGCAGCTTCGAACGTTCCTAGTAACATTCATTATTGCGCAACACGAACTGGAACAGTAATAAATATTTCGACCGGTAATAATGCCGGATCGAATAAGTCATGCGTTGCGCTCCGTTGTTTCTCATCGATGCAATTCGCGGTAGCGATGAAAAATTCACTCGGACTGTTCAGAGCTTGCCTGTCTATCCTCGTTTCGGTTCATCCCCGTTATAGTCCGTCACAGTGACTTTCAATTAAGAAAATCCAGGATTAAAGTGTAGCGGATAATAATCACCTTCGGATAGCGTGCAGTTTGCCCGAACGAGCGCCGCATTTCCTTTCATTAATTTCGATCGGTGGCTCAAGGTCTCGGCCACAAAAGAAAGTATCCAGGATCTGATCACGTGTCTAGTTCCGCTCATTTCAAATACTTCCGGAGTAAACCGGCCGGCGACGTATCGCAATAACGAAACACGAGAGCTGATTCACAGCAGCGATTTTTCATTCGCCCGACAATCGTAATCCTTTTCATTCCGCGAGCGGTTTCTCTGTTCCGTTCACTGTTCCTCGGTTTTCACATGTTTTCCACGCGACACAATGATCGCCGGTGTGAAATCTCTCCGCTGATTGTTACCTTTCCCCCCAGCTTTATCCTTTCGAATCCTAACGAGCACGCCGCACCGATGGAATTGTGCTTTTAGTTTATAAACACTTTAGCCGGGAAAATCGATTTCATTCGAGGCAACTGCAATTTTCCGGTTCTCGCGCCTCCTTCTCGCCGAATCGTGTTCCCCGTGCAACGAACACGATTAACGCGGAATGGTCTCTTTTCAATCAATAAATAGCACGGTTACAAATATTGATTTCCATGCCGTACGAGGGAAACAAAAGGAGCGCAGCGTGAATGAAATTCGCGATTCCGGTGACTATCCGACTAAGGGAACTCGGAGACTTAACCGGAAACGGAGTACACGACCCGCGAGCGGACACGAGGAGCGGAAAAGAATGAAAAGTGTCCCGCGATCGTTTCACGGGATAAAGTCCATTTAATTCGTGATCGAACGGTCGCGGTTCAACAATGCTTTGAATCGGCATTCGAGCGGCGTGTCCCTTTTGGCCGGCGGCGACGATGGCAGTGAATAGGCCCGGCCCGACCCGACCCGGTCTCTGTTATATTCAGCGTTTCGAGTGACCGAAACGGTGACGGGACGCTGGATTGTTCACCGCGGAAATGACGTTGTCAGTGTGTCACGTGTCCCGGCTCTCCGGCGGCCGGTTATTAAGTCGACGACTTTATCGCGTTCGACGTCTCATTACGCTTTTCAGTGATGAAGGATTGTTCGGTCATCGAGGGCAATCGTGCGGGGGCTAAATCCATCATTTACTTTCGAACGCATCCCGTGTATGCACCCCGGACACGAGTTCTTACCGCTTATGAATATTAATCAAAATTACTCCTTTGTACACCTACGGACGCCCTTTCAACGAGGCTTCGGATAGGGGGACACCCCTGCTTCGAGCACCCCTGTTTTAACACTAGAACCACCGAACGGGCCAAGACGACCCATCCTGAATATCTGCTTTTACAATTTTCGAGATGCATAGGCTTTTCGACATTTTTTCATAAATTGGTCCTATAATGTGCACTTTAAACTGTGAGTCAAACGAGATCTTAACCCCTAACGGAGCAATGCTTAGGTCCAATGCCTCGTATATGGCGGCAAAAATCATTTTATTGTCTTTATCACTGTTGTTGTAATATTTACAATTAACACGTTAAGTATTGTCCTATGTCACTTCTGTGAACTTGTTTCCGCTTGTTATCTATGTTACGGTATTTTTTGGCGGTAGAAAAACTTGAAATATTTCTGTTCCGTGAAGGGTTAACAAACACGTTTTTGTAATTTGTATAAGAAAATAGCCATTAGGCGATTTGATTGCGCGGTAGGTTCTAGTGTTAACCACTTAGCCGGAATAGACAATTTAGAAACTAGTTCCACTCGTTCGTGCAGTGGTTGACGAAACGCCGTTTTGTTAAGAGCTGTATTCGGGAAACATGAAATGAAACTCGGGTATTGAAATTGACTGGGATTCGTGAGTACATATTGAACTTGATCCCAATCCCCACACTACAGGGATTGATCGTGTCCCCGCGTCGGGTACGCCCGGGTCGATTTCGATCTCAACCGAAGTTCAATCGGGGTATTGTTTAGATTCTCCTCCGGTCACGCTTGATTCTTGGGGTCGATATTGTCTATTGATACTATGGGCTTCCGGGATGACGTCCCGCACGTTTCGATGCGGGCTTTATCTGTCCCCCGATGACTCATTGATGCTTAAGTACTTACGTTTCGACTTATTGCTC